TTAGTGAGCCTTTTTAAAGCACGGTCAACTATTACTAATTTTTTGTGGAAATGGCTGAACCTTAATCACCAAGTAATTCCAATCGTCATTCACAAATAATTAGGCTCTAGTTTGGTTTACTGATCCATTACAAACAATTTACTAAGTAATCAACAGTTTATTAAGATATGACTGACTTTCTTTTATTTGGTCAACAGTCTTTTCCTTTGATCCATGGATTTTGTGTTAATTTCATGGATTTTTAGAGTTGTGTGTTTTTAGCGAAGGTAATCTTGTGGATTTATAAACCTCATTTGCGAGTTAAGTTTTATGTTTAATATGAAGAGATAACCTTTAAGTAGGTTATTATGTTTTAATAACTCATTTTCCGAATCTTAAATATATTTTCCTACTTCTCCACTTCCGTCATTATATTATTTTGAAATTACCTGAAGTTTATCACACAAACTGCAACAAGTTAGCTATTCTGGTTTTACCTATGTTTTTCTTCCAACCATCGTTAAGAAAGAATTCGTTCGTCCATGTATAATCTCATGACTTATATAAATTAGTTATATAAAAAATAAATCTAAGATAGAAAAATAAACAGTTAAATAAACAATTCCACTTTGTGCTTTTTTCCATTTCACTTCACCTACTCAATGTACTATTTTCCTTTTCCACTAAGATCAGTTTGATGTCAACATTAGACTAAGGCCATAGCTTCCTTTGGTTTCTTTTACGCCTCATTTAGCAATACTTTCTAACTGCTGAACAAAAGCAAACATTAATTATGAATTAAATAGTACCTTATATATGATATATGCTAGCTGTTAACCAGAAGAAAACCCAGAAAATTAGTCAGATAAGATGCAATAATGTTCTATTAATCCCTTTTTTCTTCAGTTTGCCGTCACTAATTAGATAAAGGTACCTTAAACACATGCCATCAGTAACTTGTTAGGTTGTATATGTCCAAAGCACCTCTTCTCCTTCAGCTTTGCCAGCATAAATACACTCATAGAGTAAGGAATAGAATGTTGGCTTGGTTGGTAAGGAAAGATATCATTTCCCAATACCAATTAATTAAAGTATAATCTTATAATGAGGGGTTAGGTACAAATACCAAACCTCATCGAATTAAATCATCTTCTAGGCGAGGGGCATTTTATATCTTATATATAATTGCTGACAGATCGGTTCACATGTAAAATAGTAACCAATTTCAATTTGATCATCTAATCGTCAAGAATTAATCAAATCGTTGATAAAAGAACATATCAGTTACTCAAATAAGTTGTTTGAATCGCTCGAGTGGTTTGTCAGAACCACGTCCCATTCTTGACCTGGATTTTGACATGTGAACAGAACCACGTCCCATTCTTGACCTGGATTTTGACATGTGAACAAAACATAGCTGAAATATGAGAATGTTGAGTGTTGAACTCAACATCTCTTGTAAAACAACTTACTCATTCTCCATTAGTATTACTACTTGTTTGTGTTGTAGAGTATAACTCATCTATTTATTAATTAGTAATGCAATGTTTGGCTTTGATTTATTATCATTAAATATTGCTATTTTTTTTAATCCACCTGTATTATCACTGTGAAATTTATATTTTCATCAACTCTTCTACCTGCCATGTATATTTATATGTTAGTAATATAATATAATTAATATTATAAATGGTTTTATATCGTTTCATGAGCAATTTTATAATGATTAACCAATAAACAACTAACTACTATTTTTTTTGGTTCTATGTCGAGTTGATCAAATTTTGATAACATATTATATATCCTGCATATTGGAGTTAATTTGGATATGAGGCAGGTTAATTTCTCAACTATATGTTATGATTGTTTCAAATCATTCAATAATTAATATAGTTTATGTCCAAGTCCAAATGGAATGTCATGGCTAGTCTCACGGTTTTGATTACCGTGGGAGGGCAGTCGATTTTGGTTTAACTGAAAATAAAAAATTCGGTTATCGATTAACCGATCCACCACCTTCTACCTGTCGACCACTTATCGAGAGAGGTTACACGGCTAATCGACCACTGACTGGTTAGTTACGTTATCGATTTTTGGTTCAGTTAGCCGTGTGGCCGAAATTGTGCCTACAGGTTCGGTTTAAACCAGGTAACCGACCCGAAACAGCTCACCTGCATGAAAAAATTAGTAAACCCCCTGAAATTAAAGTCTCAAACCTACATTTCTACATCTAAATCACTCAAAGTAAAGTCTCAATACCTTTTGCATCGAAAATTAATCTAAATCACTTAATTAATGTCTCAAACATAAAGTCAAACTTCATAAAGTCACAAATCACAATAGATCCAAATAGCAACAAGTCAACAACAAATCATCATCATCATCACTTATTAACACCAGCAGAAGAACCAACATCTGCAAAACCATTTTCTTTCAATCGGTCCAACAAGTCATGACCATAACGTCGTATCCATCTTGCTCATACTCTTTCTCAAGCACTTCTTCTTTACCATCCTGCTCATCCTCCACTAGAATGTTGAGACTTGCATATGCATTGGCAACATTGCAGTATCACTTGCACTTTCCAATCTAGTCTGGAAAGTGGTATTAACTAAGTAAGAAAAAAGAAAATAAAGTGTTAGGATATTCATAATATGAATTAGGTGGAAAGAAATAGTCAAAACCTGAACAACAAGTGATTAAGAGAGTTTTAGAACTCACCACTTTCGAAATCCAAATTCTCTTCATCATCTTCCTTCTCATCAATCTCTCCGAATCCGGTAGTTGGATACTTTATTCAATCCTCAGCACAAATCAATGCCTCCACCATTGTATCGCGCAAAGAGGACCTGAATGGACTGAGAATCCGGCCGCCACAGCTGAATGTTGCCTCTGAGGAAACAGAAGAGATGGGAACAGCTAAGATATCCTAAGCCATCTCAGCAAGAATCAGATATATTCTAGAGTGTCGAGATCACCAACTCAAGATGTCAAACTTTGCATCATCACTCTCCTCATTGATGCCATCAGTTTGACATTTCAAATAGATGTCAAGCTCAGCAGAGCTACCTCCTGTTTCCTGCAGAAGTTCATCCCCTTTTCCTCTTCCTGAGCCTCTCCTCGACCTTCTTAATCCTATCACTACCACCAATAATGCTCTCATTAGTGGTAGGCTCATATGCAGAGGAGAGCGTTTTTTATCCATACTTCCCTTTATAAACCTCAAATATATGGCACATCTATGAAGTAATAGAACTCTCAATTTCTCCTCCCTTCACTCTCGCATAAATTATTTCCACACATGCTAAATAAATTAAGTGATTCATCTTCATGTTCTCCTCATTCATAACAGGTGTCTCAAATCAATACTTATATACCTTTTCCTCAACCTTTTCTGCCATCCTTTGGATCTTTTCATGCAGATCATTGTTCAATTCATTAATGATGTCATAGACTAGAACAAGCTTCTTGCAGAAGAGATGGGTAGTCACATATTTAGTTCCTGTACAATGAGAATATAACTCAGAAAATTAGAGTAAAACAATCAAAGATGGTCAATGGTTAAAATAAAACAATGCAATTCAAATTCCACCTACCCGAGACTAGGAGGGTCAAGTAATTAAAGACTTTCACATACTTCATAAACTTCCTAATCAGCTGCTAATATTGTTCAGTTGGAAGACCACCTCTTGAGTTAACATAATCTCTAACACTCTGTTCATAAGCGAAGGAAAAGGAGGGGAAGAGAAAGTTAAGGAGGAAAGTTGGAGTCCCAAAAAACTGTCCCCCGTTTTTTAAGCTATGCACAGTAACTAGGGGAGGAGAAAAGGAGAGAAAATCTCCTGTGCTTTCCGATCCCCCAAATTGGAGGGAAAAGTGACAGTTGCGTCCCAAGCTTCTCTCCCTTCACTTTTTTGTTTCTTTCTATTTTCATCTGTCTTTTTTTTTATTAATTAATTGAAGCAAGCAAGTAGCTAGAGCATAGAGTAAATTATGGGGAAAAATATGGAAAGTAGATCAACAAAAAATATTATAATTAATGAGTAGTAAGTGATATTTCCATTAAATTGTGGTTATCGTATTTTTATAATAAAAAATATTCTTCATCGTTAAAACATGATTTAGGAAAAAATTTAAATTGAATAAAGATCACCGGTATGAAACCCTAGTCAAAATTTGCAATAAACGATCAAATTCGGTTAAATTCGAGATTATGTAAAATCAAGGTAGAATTAGTATAGGCCAATTTTGATTGACATTGACCGACTTTGACTACCATTTCATACAGTGGTATTTCAACTAGTTTGGTGACCAGTATTGATTGAACCCCGTTATATCGATCTACATACCACAGACATGACAACCATGATTATAGTGTTTGCAAATTTGTATCGTACTCGTGGTTCAACCTGAATAATCTTCTATTAAACTCTTACTTCGAGTTTTATTTCGAGGGAAAAGGAGGAAACAAAGTGTTTAATAGAAATGGGGATTCCTTAGAAGCCCACTAATTTAATGATAAAAAATAAATCGTATCGTATTGGCGGTTTGGCCAACAAACCTCATCTTAGACTAAATTGGTAGATGGTATTTAGCATATCGATGAACTAACAGGTTGCCTTCTTTTGGACGAACTTATGTAAGTCTAATATTATTATGTGACTTTCTTTTGGACGTATTGTATTATGTATGTCTAGTATTAGCGGATACCTTTATTTTGGATGAATGTATGTACTTCTAGTATTAGCATGTGACCTTATGTTTGGGAAATTACTATTATCCTGTTGCTTTTTGGACAATTTATGTATTTGTAATTTGTTGTATGTTTATATATTTAGTTGCTATGTTCTTACTCAATAAAATAGTTAACAAAATTTTAGTAATAGGTTGACAAATTTCATTCAAATAACCAACTTTTGATTTGTTGTTGTTAACAAAATTAACAAAGAAGAACAAATTTGATCCACATTACATAATTAATATAAAGAGTATAAACACATAATTAAATTATTTAATTATTCTATCATCAATAAAATATAATACATATCACAATTCCCAATCTACTTTTTTCCTCCCACTTTCTCTTCCACTTTCATCCATTAAACAACATTTTCTTTCCAATTCCCTCTAATTCCCTCCCTTCCAAACTTAACCTCCCCTCCAAATTTTCCTACCCTCCCCTCCTTTTCCTCCCTTCCTTCATGAACATAGTGTAAATGCATTGGCGTAGCCAGAGATATAATTTAGTGGGGTCCAAACATAACCAAATACGAAGTTTGGCTCGATAGTAAAATCATTGTCTCGGAAAGAGGGGGTCCGTGGTTCTAAATAAACTAACCCCACCTTAAAAATCCACCATTCTTAATGTATATTCATTTTCCAAGTGGGGTCCATGGACCCCACAACCCTTAACCTAGCTCCGCCAATGTCTAAAGGAATGATCGTGTGGACTTGAATACAAAGTTGTAAACACTCCATCAAACCTTTCTGCTGACTCTAACATGATATAGGTGGAGTTTCACATGGTGGATACATCCAAAGACACCAATTTGCTTGAATCCACATTCACAAAGTGTTAGTATACTCTTATATTTTAAATTTGAATTACGTGTCAGGCTCACAGACTCAAATGTATCTTACGTGTAATGAACCGTCAGACACTTCATATCCCATTAACTCCACTAAAAACCTAACATAGCGAAGACGGAAGGAAAATTGGCTAGATATTTGTGTATTACTACTAGGTGTAGGTCCATTTAACACGAACCTTTGCCCAAAACAAGTAACTTTGCCTACATTCCCCTCAAATTTCGGAACAAATACGGTCACAATGGCAACAAAACTGAACGCATTTGATAATTCACCAAGACAAGAAATAATATGATAAATGCTAAGATTTATACTCGATTACAGCAATAGATTCATTCCATTACTATGGAAATAACAAGGGAAAATAAAATGAAGCAATCTTTAGTAATTTTATTGTTGAAAACGTAAACTGGTGTATTTGTTTTGGGAAATAAACAAAAAGCGATCAATTATCAACTAGCTGTCACATGGGAGAGCCAACCAATTGGAGAATAATAATTAGTTCTTCCATTTTCCACAAAAATTAATTAGTGACCCGGGCAATAAGCAAATAAATTAAGCACATTTAGCAAAACAGTGCTCAGAACTATCTCGAAGGAAATAGATTCGTATCTTAAAATTTTACCATTGCTCTCGTTCTCATCACCCAACAAAATTTAAAACAAGACTCTTTTCCCTGATAACTAAGCCACGAGCTAGAGAATAAAATGTCATTAAGTAAGACGGGTCATATTATTCGTGCATTCCATTAAATGTCCCATGACTAGATAGAACCATCATTATGCACGTTTAATTCCACGCATAGTGTAACATTTTTATTTTTCGTTAAATCAGTGACTTTGATTAATGTAATTAAAAAAAAATTCGAAATGAGCCCTGATCCTCCTGATACACAGAAACATAATTCCTAGGGTAGGAACTCTTTAGAAGCAAAACTTCAAACTATAATATTTAATTTTTGCTGCACTTGTGTACCATTACATAACCACTATATCTCATTCATTTTAACTTTGATTAATTTTTTTTTCAATGAGAAAAATGTATTAATTAAGACCAACACCTTGATATCTATTTTCATATTTTTAGAAAAAATTAGATAATTTTATGAATGTAGTAAGTAGTGGCCGAGCAAAAAATCTAAACCAGGGGGACTAAAAATGTACTTTCAGAGAATTTAAATTGGTGAGGAGGGCTATAATCTTACCAAGTATTGTATTTCTCAAATTTATTATCAAAATTACATGTAATTTTACATGAGTTACACTAGTGGTAAGACAGTGTTACGCCGGGCAAAACTTTGTATAACATATGATGAACACATGTGGTACTTGAGTGTAACCATTTTTTGTCCAAAATTCGTAACAAATAAATTTCATCTTGTAGAGCATATCCAATTCATTTTTTTAAATCATCCAACTTAAAATAGATGAGATATGCTAATGATTTTACATTGAATTAGACAGATAAGATTATACCCCTATTCCGCTCTCATTTCATTCCCTAAAAAAGATACACTACCTTTATACATTTTTTAAAACCTATTATAAACTTTTACTTTTATTTATATTTTAAACCGAGAAATTACGCTAAGATTTACATAAAAAAAGAATTTAGTTTCTCTACACAAAAAAAATACGCATCTTTATACACTACAGTACACTGTCACATGCCTCCAAAAGAGGCCACACGCGCCTAATTTTCGACACGTCGACCTCACTCGCTTCTCCCCCACGGGATGATATTAATTAAAGTATAAAGAAGGAAGAACCCAACACTTTGGCTAGCCTTAGCTGGTAGCCAGTTTGGCAATTTCGGCCGCAGTTCTTTTTTTTCTTTCCCTTTTTCTTCTCTCTGAAATTTTCCATCACTTTCGTCGGCGAGGAAATTATAAGAGCTGGCGAAAGTTTCTTCTTCGTCGTGGCCATACCGCCTACAGAGAGACGGAGGAGGGAGTGAGAGGAAGGGGAGAGAGAGAGAATCAAGAGAGAAAATTTCTGGAATCTGATTACATAGATTGGCTGTATAATTTTGTGGGTTTTTTCTGGGTTTGATTTCTTCTGTTTCGTTATTCTTTCCTGTTCCTTCAGTTCTTCACTCGGCATTAGAAGGAAAGGGAACGGAAAAGGGTGAAAAAAAGAAGGAAAGTAAAATAGCCGCGTTTCCTTTTCGTTTATACTCTCTCTCTTTATCTCTTTCCTGGAAAATCCGAGAAAACGAAGGAAAATCAGCGCAGCCATATCTCCGCCGCGTTGATTTTTGGGTTTCACCCAGCTTAGTCTCTGTTGATACATTTCGCATTTTACCCTCCTTTAAATTTTGACGTTGACCATTGATTCTCTCCTTCTGCAACTATAATGCTTCCCCGCGTCCGTCACATTTTCCAGAAGAGTCGTCTTCTACATCTCCACCACCATTTATAATAAAAGCCAGAAACACTCACTACCTTCATCTTCTAGAGCCGCCCAAACCCAAACCCAGTTTTCGGAAGAAAGAAGGGGGGAAAAAAAAGATGGCTGCAAATGGCGGATTATTCAGGTCAGATTTACTGGGTCTGTTCGGCTTCTTCGCCGTGCTGATTCTTTCCTCATCCTTCTGCCTCGGGATTCGTTCCGTCCCCGACGGCGCGGATCTAGCCGGGTTGCTCCGATTCAACGAAGCCCCCGAGTACCGGAACGGAGTCGGGTGCCCGACTTTGGGCCCGTCATCGTGCGACCCGTCTCTGGTCCACATCGCCATGACCCTCGATTCGGAGTACCTCAGGGGCTCGGTGGCCGCCGTCCACTCCGTCCTCAAGCACGCTTCCTGCCCGGAGAACGTCTACTTCCACTTCATCGCGGCGGAGTTCGACCCGGCCAGCCCGCGGGTCCTGAACCGGCTCGTCCGGTCCACTTTCCCTTCCCTCCGTTTCTCGGTCCACATTTTCAGGGAAGACAAGGTCATCAATCTCATCTCCTCCTCAATCCGGCAGGCCCTGGAGAACCCGCTCAACTACGCACGGAACTACCTCGGCGATCTGCTCGACCCGTGCGTGGAGCGGGTCATCTACCTGGACTCCGATTTGGTGGTGGTGGACGACATTCAGAAGCTCTGGAGCACGAAATTAACCGGGTCGCGGGTCATCGGGGCGCCCGAGTACTGCCACGCCAATTTCACCAAGTACTTCACCCCGGGTTTCTGGTCCGACCCGGTCATGTCCCGGGTCTTCGCCTCCCGGCGGCCGTGTTACTTCAACACCGGTGTGATGGTGATGGATTTGGTGCGGTGGAGGGAAGGGAACTACAGGAAGAGGATTGCGATGTGGATGGAGATTCAGAGGCAGAGGAGAATTTACGATCTGGGTTCCCTGCCGCCGTTTCTATTGGTATTCGCCGGAAATGTCGAGTCCATCGACCACCGGTGGAACCAGCACGGCCTAGGAGGTGATAATGTGAGGGGAAGCTGCCGGTCGTTGCATCCGGGTCCGGTGAGCTTGCTGCATTGGAGTGGGAAAGGGAAGCCGTGGGCTAGGCTCGATGCCAAGACTCCTTGCCCGCTTGATCATTTGTGGGAGCCTTATGATCTCCACCATGAAAGCAGCATGAGCAGCAAGACGAATGATCTGAGTTCTGCATCAGTGGCTGGTCTTTCCAGTTACTTGTGAAAAAGAAGATTTGGCTGTTGGTTGGGGTGGAGGGGTTGAATTCTTTGTTTCATAAACATTCTTTTTCGGCTTCACACATTCAAAGGGGATTGATTCTTTGATAGATGTGTACAGATTAGATAAAAGGAGGGCTATAGCTAGCTCTCTCCTTCTCTCTGTGTTTGGAGGTGGAAATTTGCCATTTGGGAGTGGGGGATGAACCAGAAAGTTGCAGAGGCAGAAGAGAAATTCCTCTTGGGGGGATTTGGATTGTGGGCTCTGTAAATTTTCTACCTTTTTGGTGGGTTGATTTGTGAATTCTTTGTATTTCTGCGGAGGAGGGATTATATGTTTGTTTGTTGATTGAGTTGATGATTGATATGCGATTCCTTCTTTTTCTCTAGAGTTCTCTTTTACGTATTGGGAGATGTTGTAGTTCATTCCGGAGCATTGGGTTTTGAATGGTGGATTGATTTCTTCTTTCTATGTAAATGGAACTCTTCAGTTTTGTTGGGGGAGGAAGATGATGTGAACAATAATAATATCCTTCAGTTCAGTCAGTCGTCCATTATTTGATGTTTACCATCACAACATTCCAATCTTTGAGTTAACCAAGTGCAGTTCGAGTAAGCAAACATGTCGCTAATTTCTATTGCAATGAATTTGTCGAGTATTCATAGATCATAGGTACCATGGCATACCAATGTCGCCATCATCGGGTAGAATAACAGTAACTAGTGAGTAAAAAGGAGTGAGAAAAAAAAAGTGAAAGATCTGCAGATGTCAGATGAAGCTCATTGCATCTCTGGTAACATTTTGATTTATCAATTCATATATGTAAGGGTTGATGATTGATTAAGAACAAGACAAGAAGATGGAGAAAGGTGAAAATAAAGAGCCAAAACATGAAGGGAGGGAGCAGAGCAGACAAAGGCAGACAAGTTGTTGTGCTCTGCTCCACAGGCAGAGCCAGCTCATAACCTAGTGGTGTTAGCCTGTTGCCTTTGATTCCCCGTTGGACCAGGCAAGCCAAACCAAGGTTAGGTATATGCTTTGCTTTCAGTTCATTTTCCCATTTGTGTTGATTTCTTCCAAGTATTCTCTTCACCTTAATTTTCTGCAATGTTTTTTAGGAATAAGACGGACGGTTGGTTGGCTTTAAGTAAGTTATCACTACTTATCAGGAGGTTAAGGGTTGGTTTGGGGCCCTTGGGGATCATGGAATCAATGAAGGACACACACGACTTAGGGAAGAAAGAAGAGTTTGTTGGATTTCTCTTTAAAATTGCAGCAAGTCAGCATCATGGAAGAAGAAAATGCTTGAGTGGGAGTGAAAACAATGTTTGCTCATGATAACGGGAAGTTTGGCTGCTGCCTTATCTTTTCACTAAAAGCTAATGTAACTATTTGTATTGGTTCTTTCTATTAAGGGAGGAGGAAAATTATATAATATAGTAATGTGCTTTTAGCCTGCACCACAGTTTGGGATATGTTGGATTAATTGGAAAACGGTTGGTGTTTAGAAGGTAAAAGATGGTTGTCTAGGCTGAATTTTTACCAAATTCACAAATTATACACTTCTTAGTTCTTACCATTAGTAAAGTTATATTTCTTTTATTTAACCTATCTTATTCTAAAGTTATTCCTTTGTTTTTAACAAAAGATAATCATATGAATTGATAGATCAGAGATAACACCCGGCACTGAACCCATGAACAAAAATCAAAGATACGACACGAGGTTGGAGGCAAAGAAAGGGCCTTCTGAGCCACAAGGTGGGCTATCCTATTGCTAATCCGACCTACAAATCAAACATTAAAACCTCTATGAATATCCAACGTGTGGAGAATTTCCTCAAGAATAGCCCCAACACGACTACCTCGTGCATCCTTGGCATTAATCTTGTCAATAAGAATTTCAATATCGCCTTCAAATTGAACCTGAGCAAGTCCAATGTCCCGACACCATTGAATAGCCTCACGAAGGGCAATAGTCTCAACCACAAGGGGATCATCCATAACCTCGAAAAACAACCCTAGGACGAAAACAACAAAGTCTCTTTCATCCTTAAGGATCAACCCTCCTGTTGAATGTGAGTCAGCACATACCGCACCATCCCACATACAGATAACAGAGAACGAACCACCCAAATCCAAACTCTGTTGCAAAGGGTGCTGATTCAGATCCAACCTATCTTTCGGCAGGGAAACCCATTCATGTAGTTGCTGGTGGTATTGACGCATAAGGTGAGTACTCCAAAATTGTTTGCCCTAAAAAACAACCAAATTTCTAGATTTTCAAATGCACACCGCAATTAGGGCCATAATGTGCTCCGGCTGGGTTAGTCGAAGCAAGCAATTTTTGAGAAAAAGAGGGAAGGTCTAAAGCGACAACCCTTGCCCCAATATTAGATGAACATTTTCCAACTACCCAAAAGAGTAATCAGGGAAATTGATGAACTTTGTTCAAAATTATTTTGGAATGTGAAAGAGCAAGGTTAGAAAGCCAAAGTGAATTGGCAAGTTGGCAATGGCAACTAGTGACATTACATAAGGAGGAGGGTGGACTTGATTTTAAAGAATTCCATAATTGGAATAATACTTGCTTAGTTGGGCAATCCAATTTGATCAAAGGCTCTATGGATTGCATGGATGAAGTACATACTAGGCAACAATAGTATCTTGGAAGTAAAGACCCATAGATCTCGAGGTTGGGGCAAGATTATAAAGGTCAGGGGATGGTTGTAGGACTTCTCCAAGTGACGGGGGATAGGGGTTGAATGGAATGAGTTTGCATGCCTCCAAAATTGCTCACCAGAGAAATCCAAATGAGTTTGCATGCCTCCTTCAATGAAGATGAGTATGCAAAAACTTTGACAGCCCATTCCGTCTCCTGGCGCCAAGAAAAATAGGAGAGGCGTGGGAATGCCTTGCCGAGCAGTACCTGAAAGAGACTTCGGTACACATCACAACTTGCAAACAAATTATCAATGGACTCCACATCCTTGTAATAGAACACACAGTTCAGAACACTCTGATATTAGCTCTAGTATTGATTCGTCCCTTTGCAATCAACCAAACCATAAATATATTCCGAGGTATACCAACCCTTTTCCAAACAACATTCACCCAAACAGGCGGAGGGTGCTTTGGCCGAATCGAATTCCACACTTTCTTCACTGAGTAACTTGACATTTCCTCGCCTTGAACTTTTTGGCTTTCATTTGTAACCAGAACAAAGTAAATTGATGCTTTTTTTTATGAAATAAAAAGATTGTTTATTCAAAAAAAGCAAAGTTACTCCTTCGAATATGCTTTATAAATGATCTTTTGAACTTTTTTGTAAGATGTGAACCAATAATCTTAAGATTACGATTCTTTTAGTAGTACCATTACATCAATAACTTGTTGGTTGCTCAAATCTAAATAAAGAAATATAGTTCGTGTATAAAAAACAACTAATTGAAAGTAAAACCCTAATGCTAACTTGATCGGCAACTCGACCACGCTAAACTCGACAAAATGACGATTGGATTTTTCTCTAATTATATAATCATCATATAGGAAAAAAATTGTCGATTTGTAACTTTGTCGTCTCTAATTATATTTTAAGCTTTAGGAAGAAGGCAAAGCACTAAGGAGAAAATTGGTTGGAGGAATCCAAATAAAAGAATAAAACCATAAAAACAAATAGCAGGAGGAAGTAGCTTTCGGTTTGAACACGCATTTGATGATAATTAATATACACATGGGTGGATAAGCCGCTCTAGGTTCTAGAAATTGGACAGAAGCAACCAAATTGGGCACCAAACCAATTTATAGGAAGCAGATCCGGTGAGTAACATTGTGGTGAGTAATCATGAGTAACCCGTCCACATCAGCATGACATCAGTATCCTCTCTCTCCTGGAAAACCTTTAATTTTCCCCTCTTTAATCTTTGACGGACGATTTCTCACTCATTTTAAGTCGAAATTTAATTTTTTTTGTACAGTTAGATCAGATTAATTGTGCTCTTCAAAATGATATCCACTTTAATATATTTTTCGAACAAAAAAAATTGAGCCATTTTTTACTAGTCTATACCATATGGTATTGACTAGTATTGAAATAGAAGTATACCTATGGTTTGAAAAAAGTACCATGGTGGTATGAACAAACCAAGACTGTAGGATGGTTGAATACATGATAGTAGAAATATATTAATTGTCATTTACGACTTTTAACATTGTATACCACAAGATACCACCCCGTACCAGGGTGGTATTGTATAGTATTGTGTGGTATTTTTTGGTCCTGTAATTTGTTCACCCATAAATTTGTAGATCCAATAGATCATGATGAACTCGTCCCTTCTGTGCAAACGTTTTGAAAAACGAATTAAAAACGAAGAAGATACCATACAATACCACCCCGTACCAGGGTGGTATTGTATGATATTGTGTGGTATTTTTTGGTCCTGTAATTTGTTCACCCAGAAATTTGTAGATCCAATATATCATGATGAACTCGTCCCTTCTGTGCAAACGTTTTCAAAAACGAATTAAAAATGAAGAAAATACCATATGATATGTAGTTGGTACCGAGAGGCCATAATTTTTTGTTCTAAAAAAATATTGAAAATTGATCTCATTTTGTAGAGCACGATGAACTCGTTCCACCTGTGCAAAAAAAAATTAAAATCCGAGTTAAAACGAAAAAGATATGAGCCGATTAAGAAAGCTAGAAAAAATAAAAAAAAATTTTAATTCTCCATTCTTAGATCTGGATTTTCTAAATGAAGGGTTCAGATTTGGTTATTGATGGATGCATAACCCATGGTTATGCACCCTATCTTGAGCCCCATTTATGTCTAGAAAGTAGAAAGTTGAAACCCAAGAATGGTGCATTAAACTTAGGTATAGTTTTCTGGGTAAAATGTAAACTACAGAACTCAATTTTATTCATTGATTTGAGAAGTAAAAAACAAGACTTATCAAATGATTCATATATTATAAGGGATAAGGAGAGAAGTTAGTGATTTTTTGGAAAGCGAGCAGGTACGAGTTTTTAGACTAAGTTAAGAGGATTTTTTTTTCAATCTCTCGTGAAATTTCAATGAATCTTATCTCATTCGTTTTAAATCGAATTTCAGATGTTGGATGATAAACCCAAAACCATGATTATTATTAAACCAACTCCAAAAACTTCGCTAGCTAACCCAAAATGCAAAAAGTTTGTTAATGACCTAAAGTTGTACTATGACGTTAAAGATACAATTTCAAGATGTACCATCAAACAAATTGATGTATTGTAGTTTACATCGTTTGATTTATGTGATAGTTATTGTAGTGTTTAAATAAATTATATTACTTTTTGGGTGAAATATTATTTTTAACTTTTGTTTTTAGTATAAAAAAGCAACACACATAAAAAGGTAGGAACATAGTTGGAAAAAGAACAAAACATAACAATCTCAATCAAACAAACTCAACTGAAACTTGAGATTTAACTATCACTCATTTTGAGTGATAGTTTGTGTCACATCAAGCAAACAATGCATGTATTGTATGTACAGAAAATTCAAAAACGATGTATTATAACTATCTCATCCAAACTATCACCAAAACCAAACAACTCCTAAAACACCAATACTTTAAAGTATAGTAAAATTCCTCGTTTTATTGATCCTTCGCTCTCCAGAATGATTATTAACTAATGTAGTAATGTTTACTATTTACTAATGACCTACTCAATCATAACTGCGCTTGACCATCTACAATGACCCCCAAAAATTATTACTAATAATGGTTATCCTAAAATATCATTACTAATAATGGTTATCCCCGGTAGTGGATCCATACCGTTTTAAGAGATGTGTCGTTTGATAAAAATATCGTTATATATAAAAATAAAATCTCATTTATAGATTATACAATTTCATTTTTTTACAACTAGACGAATATAGTTTTATATTCCGAGAGATTAGTGAAATATATTGTCATTTATTTTGGAGCTCAAACCTTTTTCAGTGTATACAATGAAACAATCATTGATAAATTTTTCACTAACACACTAATATCTGTTCTTGGTTAACTTCATAAAAATTAGTATTTCACATCTTGGAGTTGCAACAAATGTGTCAATTATAATTTTTGGAGGTTGTCTCAATGATCCTGATTAATATCTTATTTCTGTAATGACAAAACATGATTTTTCACCAAAATCTCAGACGAAAGTATGCTTTGTAAGGAAGTTGTTAAGATCCATAAATAGACCAAACCTAGTTTACTTTAATCAAAATGTCACGTATTCAAGTACTCACAGTTATCTTAAAAAGCACATGGTATGGGGCATGTGCAAATATCAAGCCTATAAATTGGCTTTCTTTTGATGATGCATATAGAAAGTGGTTAAAATCCATACATGAAGCTCTCCCACCAACTCATGTTATTAAAATTAATTGATTTATAACAACTCGAATCATTGAAACCAGTTGATTTGTTGCTTCACCCAACTAACTCCCTCCATGGTTCTCCTAAATGTACCTCACGTTCGACAACAACTTTAGTGACAACAAGGGTAGCTCCAACATAACAAGTCGAGGACGTCCATTGCATTGTTTTGATTTTTACTAACTATTTTCATGGTTTGACCATACCTAAAGAGTGTGCCTATGACGACTTTCAAGTTAGCTTTACTTGACAAAAACGGTCAACCGTATCTACAAAATGGTCGAACGAATGACACTAATGACGGGAATCAACTTATATATTACAAATGAAAAGAACAATCAATCGCTTATATATTGCAGTCGATCGACTTGATGATGAAATGGTCGATATCATAAATAAATATGTGGACCACACTATGAGGAGGTCGACCGATTAGAACTAAAGATGTCTTCATATCTAAAACCAACGCCGTAGAGGGTGGTCATCTAAAGACAATGAACCTCATTATTGCACCTGTAAGGTCGACCGGATAGCCGACGATCGATGAAAACGGACCGTTACAAGTTTCTCCTCACAGAAGAATGTTGTTCAAAGTAGTAGTTCATTCATGGATACTTTAACATAGTCAATTAATCATTCACAAAGAAAAAGACAACGATTATGAGGTAATCAAACCAAATGACAATTGTTTAATCAGTCGACCCGTTCTAGTCCAGCCAGCGAGCCAGCCCGTGACATGTCTTATATTAAAACACAGGTGGTGGGTCGGCGGTTGACAGTGATCGAAAGCCGACCCTTGAATTTGATGACTAACATAAACAAACCAGCAGGAACACATGTCAGTCCAGCTAATGAGAAAAGTTCAACTCTCCCAATATCACCCTGCTGGCAACGGCACAACCAAGCCACAGAGCTCAAGCTGTGACCAAAGCACCACTTCAAACTCCACTGCCTGCTTTGCTGGCTGATTGTTTTTGGAAATGTAAGGAGAGCGACCTAGTCCGCGACTCAGCTCCAAATCGGTAATCCTATTTTTTTGTTCGGTTTCTACAATTGCTGCCACCATCAGGCAGGCGTCACTCTTGGGCACTACTGTTGTTCCACGCTGCCTAATTTCCTTTCCTTTTTTAAGGGCGATGTTTGTTTGACGTAACGGTTGGAACGGATCGGGAAATCGACAATGTAAAAACGTAAAGAACACAAAAGTTTATGTGGTTCACTAATACAATATGTATTATTAACTGCTTGTGTTCACACTTCACAAGCAGGAGAATTCAGTATACTTAGAAGAGTTATTTTCAGAGATTGAGAACGTATATATTATACATTCTTGATTCTCCAGACAACCTAATCTAATTCAATTTTGAGGGGGAAAAGGTTATAATTAGTAAATACTCTGTTTAATGCATGTATATATAACTATATGTATTTTATTAAAATTTTTGTATCTGTATTATTGTCAAATTGCTTTATGTTTTCCTTTCATTTAATTGTTCACGTACTAAATACGTATATGCTCCAATTCCACGTAACGTTTATGCTCCAATTCCACATATGTGATATTTAAAATATTACATCGTTCTCAATCCAAACGTTCTGTAATTAATTTTGCAACTCAGACCCATCAACCGTTTTTTTCCCCCTAAATCCCATCAATCACTTATCGCTACATGGTTAGTAGTATGGGGATTGAATACATATAATACTAATTAAAAATTCATATTAATTACTTTCCTTTTTTCAGTACAATGATGGTTGTATGAGTGAAATGATATTAATGTATAGTTGTATCAATGCAATGATAGTCAAGCTAACCGATACCCTAATTATTATATAGAGTACAACAAGATTAATAAAACATG